GGAACCGGCGGTTCCAAGGCGGTTCCGGTTCCGCAAACGGGTACTCGATTCCGCTGCTCACCCCTAGTTTTTTCTCACCTTTCTCTTCTAAAAACAACTACCTAAATTCTGATATTTTAGAAAGTGTTTGGGATTTTTTTTTTTTTTTTGTAAGGGTGTCCGGGCCAAAAGCCCAATTAATCCCCGGCAAATTTGGAGGCTAAACATGGCCCCACTTAAATGTCGCAAACACTTCCCTTCCCAGGGCTCGAACTTGGGTTCATGACTATGTCATGCCCAAGCCTTTACCACTAGGCTGGAAGGTCTTTGACTGTTTGGGATTTCTTATTTGAAACAACTTATATTTTTCTACAAAAGTCTTTATCAACTTATTATAAGTTATAATGGTTTAACTTCTTCAAAAAAACTACTTATTATCAGTTTGGCACCGATACAAGCTGTTTATCCAAACATTCAAAATTACTTTTTACCGGTACCCACCAGAATAAGGTAATAAATTGTTTTTATAAGCAATCCCAAACACCCCCTAAATCTTAAAATATTGCAAATGAAAATATTAAATAATTAAATTTGATTTACAGAAAATACCATTTTTATTTCTAAAAAATCAATTATTAAAAATATTCAATAATCAATTTAGTGGGTTGTTAGTTTTATTATATTATTTTTATTCATTTTCTTTTATTTTTTAAATGGAAAAAAGGAGGCTTTTTTCATACTCCTACTTGGTTTCCATTAATTACTTTTATTGAATCTTGTGTTTGGTGTTCCCTTTTTTCCTAATGTAACATGTGCAACAATACCTTTCAAAAAGAGTCCTCAAAATCTTATACTCTTCTGTATAAAAATAATACAAATTACATTAAAAAAATAACGTATTTTAACTTGATTTTTATTTTGGGTAACATATTTTTAGAATTTCTATTTTGGTACCTAATATGTAAAGTTTTAAACATTTAAGTGCTCGGGTAACCGGTTGAAGCATTAACCGGTTATCATGTTGATGTGGTATACAACTCAGTATTAGTTGTTGGCGTGGTTAGTAACATTGATTTTTTTTTTAAATCTAAAATTAGTCTTCAACAGGTTGTCCGAGTACTTAAATGTTTAAAACTTTACATCTTACGTACCAAAATGAAAGTTTTAAAACTATGTTACCCAAAATAGGAATAAGTTAAAGTACGTTATTTTATCATGCAATTTGTCCTAAAAATATATACCAAAGGGTTTTGGACCTGGCGGTATCATACTCTTTGGCCTTCTAGGAAGTCAGGGGTTCAAACCTCACCAAGAGTGAAGATCTTTTGTGAGTTTATTTGTTGCATTTGTTGTACATAAATTTTATATACTTCAAAAAATTGTTTTTTTTTATTTTTGAAGTTAATTCTACCTCTCTTTTTTATTAACCTGGATATCCAACCCGCTATGCTAGCTGACTAATCTCAGGGTAACCACCTGTTTTACGGATAGTCCGGAGTCACCGTATTGGAACCTCCGTGGCCACAAAAGGATTTTTATTACACTTTGGATTTGAACCTAAGACCTCCAATTACTTTGACCTTTGGAGCTTATGTTCAAACCAATTAGACACCACCCTTGTGGTTAATTCTACCTTCTTAAAAGTATTTTAAATAAAAAAAATGGATAAAAAAAACTAAAAAGATCTTTTTTTTGTCTAAGAAGTTATAATATGTTATTTTTACAATATTATTGTAATGAAATATTCAAATAAAAACCAAAAAGCCTCTGTCATAGTGGTATGTGAGTCTTTGATTTCTTACCAGGTCAATGGTTCAAACTTTATCAAATGTGAGAAGAGTGTGTAGATTTATTTATTATATTTACCGTATATAAATATTATATACTTCAAAAAATATATATTCAAATAAGAAAACTAAATACTGTGATAAGATACGAAAAGAAAGGTTCACAGGTAAATTATTAGAAAAACTTCATTTGAATATGCATATGTAAAACCATATGAATTTTTTCTAAAATCAGTTCAGAATACAGTTTGAAAACGATTTTTTCAAATTTTTCAACCATTAATTTATTGCTTTATCACGATATTTAGGGGCCGTTTACCAAATGTTTATCCGGGTAAGTGTTTACCTAGTCATATTACCTTACCGGATGAATATGGTAAGGACCAGGAATCTTACTCGGTAAAAACGAGACAAGGACCAAAAGTCTTACCCGGTAAGTGAGGAAAACGACTCTTATCATGATAAGCGCTTATTGAGTAAATTGTTATATACAACAACGTTTTGGTGGACTAAAGTCTTACCCGGTAAGTAAGTGGTAGTGTTAAATTTTACCGGTAAACTCTTACAGGATAAGTGTTTGATAAACAACCCCTTAGTCTTTTATTTGAACCAAAATAATAGTATAAAGGTTCATAGTAGATTTGAAATTTTAATTTTTATTAGTTGTTAAATAGATTTTAAAATCCGATTTTTATTAAAATCATTCAATTAAATTTTTTATAATTTTTTTTATCAATTTTTTATTATTTATAAGACAGAAAAATGTAATTTTAATTTTTATGTAACTTATTAAAACATTTTTAAAATTGTTATATTTGCTAGTTGGCAGATAAATATATTGAATAATGATGGGTCATTGACCAGCATTTTTCTAAATCGAAACGTGACGTTGACTGCTACGGTATAAGAAAATAAGTTGCGCATTCTCTACCAGCAATTGCTTTTGACGTAGTAGTAAACGTTTGGATCCTAACAAATAATAATTATAATATAAAAATAACTAGTATGATTAATAAATAAGTAATAACTGATGTTATTGAAGAATCTACGATTCATATTAATTAATAATTGATATTAATTAGTAATTATAATATTAATGAACAATATTTGATACTTACTTAAGGATATTATTGGAAGAAAGTGGTAAATAATTACTATATCAGGCTAACGTTTTAGTAAAGAGTTGTTTGTTTACCTCTTAATAGTTCCATTAAGAGGCAACATCCGAATCATTAAAATATGAATCTTGTTTGACAAAAAAAAAACATGCCTCTTAATGATTCTAAAACCTTCTGAATGATTTTGTATCATGAAACTCCCTTAACCATTAAGTGCCATAATTTCATTGTAAACAATTACCAAATAATTATATTTCATTTTGCACTATATCATAAGAGTCTTTAATCATTCTACACTAAACCATTCAGCAACCGCCAAATAACCCCTAAGCTACCTTTTTTCTAAAAAAATTTAAGAGTAAACTACAAATTTGGTCCTTGTGGTTTGTCGTGAATAACACTTTTTGTCTTTGTAGTCTCAAAATTACAAGATCGCCACCATGGTTTGTAAAATCGTCAGAATTTGATCTCTTCCTCTAACAACAATTAAAAATCCAGTTAAATGAGGGGGGGGGGGGGTACTTTCCTTCTTTTATCGATTTTTTTGTCTTTTACCCAATCAAAAACCACACAGACCAAAATCATAAGATCAATTTTCATTTTGTAAAAGACAAAAAACAATCAATAAAAGGATGAAAATGCTCTGAGTTTAATGGAATTTTGTAATGGCGATTAGAAGAGGGGCCAAATTCGGATGTTTTTACAAACCACGATGCTTATCTTATAATTTCGAAACTACAAAGACATAAAGTGTAATTTACGACCAACCACATGGACCAAATTTGTAGTTTACTCAATATTTACAAGGGTTGGATTTCGGTAAGAAAAGTAAACAACGTCTTCACCATTTGATCAATTTTAATTGAAAAGAAATCAACACTAATAAGATATACCAAATCAATTTCCTTCTAAAACAGAATTCATGAGTTGGTTTGAGATTTAAAATGATCAAAGTTCAAATTCTTTCTTACACTTATCACTTTAATCTATATTACCCTATAAACCAAATTTATCAAAAGTCTTAAAAACAATTTTTAATGCACAAAGTACTATACATTTATGCACAAAGTCTTAAAAACAACTCATAATGCATTAAGTATTACTACTTTATGCATTTAGTCTTAAAATCTTTTAATTTACAATTAAAATAACATATATTACAAGTTACCAATGCACATTATTATATTTTCTTTTCATGTTTCCAAGATACTTTTGACACATTTCACTCATATCTTCACCCTCTCATACCTCTATGTCTTCTTCTTATCCCCCAAGGTGAGATTCAAAATTAAATTCACCATTAATTATTAAAAGTTCTCCCATTCAATTGCTCTAAAACTCTCGGTCTCGCTCTCGATCTTTTGATTATTTGCTCTTGGTGTAAATCAAACACACTTGTGGAGTCGTTTAAATATGTTGGATTTTAAATATATTGAATTTTAAACTGTCATACAATTTTTTTCATCGATAGACTGTAATTGGAACCATAACTCTTATTTATTCAAATTATATTAATATGTAAAGACCAAGTGTAACTTATATCATCGTTAAACCTTCTCTAATAAAACCAGTAAAACTTCAAAATCGTTAAAATTCACGGCTCTCGTCGCATTGCGTGGGTACACAACTAATAGTTCTATTAAAAGACAGTCTCTGAATCGCTAAGATGTGAACCTTATTTGGCAAAAAAAAGTCTGTCTCTTAATAATTATAAAACCCTATGAATGATTTTGTAGCTTAGGCCTTTCTGAATCATTCAGTATTTTAATTTCATTATAAACAATTACCAAACAAACATATTTCATTTTACATTATATAATAAAAATCTATTAATCATTCTAACCACTTAATCATCTTATATCAAACCATTCACTAACTACCAAAAAGTATTTGCAGCATTTAGTGTAGCCGTGAAATATAAAATTTTAGTGATTTTATTGTGTGATTGTAAAGGTCAAATGGAATCAGCATTGGAATATTATAGAATACATCCAAAAAGGATCCCCGAGGGTGAGAAGAGCAGGAGCAGTATATAACAACCACCACCGCATACCTCCTCTTTCATCTTCACAATTTTGTCTGCAACTCTCTCAACCTGCTCGTTTTCAGATCAAAAATGGAGAAAGATGATCTCGATTTCGTGTTGGTGCCGTTAGGCTTGTTTGTGATGGCTGGATATCACGCTTGGCTACTTTATCAGATACGTCACAATCCTGCTCGCACCGTCGTCGGAATGAACGCAATCAATCGCCGATTTTGGGTCGCTTCTATGATGGAGGTATCATTATATATACATGTGTCTTCGTTTGAATGCAATTACATATGGAATCGTATCTCAGATCTCTTGCTTTTTACTCAAATTATTTCCATGGTTAATTAATTTGGGGGAATTGGATGATTCCAGATACACCTTACGTCTCTGTGTGTGTGTGTGTGTGTCTCTCTCTCTCTATATATATATATGTATTATGTGTATATGTGCCAAAAGAAACCATCCATAGACATATGCATCCACATACGTAAGCATATATTTTTTATTAGATCAACTTCTATATCCAATTTATGCATAGACATGATATTAGATTAAAAGTGATCAAGAAATTCATGTTTTTCATTATAACTTTCTTTCTCATACGATACTATGCATATATATATATATATATATATATATATATATATATAGAGAGAGAGAGAGTTTGTTTCAAATACAACATATTGTATTTGTACAACTAATGCAACCCAACCCAATATATTGAGATATTTATGGAAATGATCAGAGTTCATTTATTATGATTTGAATATTTATAGAAGATGAATATGGTATATTAATTATGATCAATACTTTATATTATGAAACAATAAAACTTCTATGAAATCACATGTTAATAAAATGAAATGGACGATTGAGATTGGGTTGTATTGGTTGTATAAATGTCAATGGTTGTATAATAACCAACCTATATATATATACACATGCATATGTATAATAATGTGTGTTTATTAACCCTGCGTGTGAGCTAACTTGTGGTACCTCCGGTAACTAGGTGTTTGGTTGGAAGTACTTAGAGCATCTAAGGGGTCGTTTACCAAACACTTACCCGGTAAGTGCTTACCGGTAAAATTTAACACTATTATTTATTTACCGGGTAAGATTTTAGTCTAAAAAACAACATCGTATGCAACAATTTACCCGGTAAGCGCTTATTGTGGTATGAGTTGTCGTCCTCACTTACTGAGTAAGACTCTTGGCCATATTCATCTGGTGAGGTAATGTTACTTGGTAAGCGTTTACCCCGGTAAGCGTTTGGTAAACGGCCCCTAAGACAGTTTTAGGAAAATTTACTCTAAAAACTATGTTAAACTTGTGAGAATATGTGGAACCCGTATCACTCTCCAAAAGAACCCTTTGAAAAAAAAAGGGAGGTTCCAACATATATATAGAAAAGAATTGGTCGAAGTATAGTTGATGTAGGACTCCAATGATATAATCAATGTTGTAATCTTTAAAATAGAGAAGTTATTGGACTCGAATGTAATTTCTTCGAAGATTTGGATTTTTTATTCTGTATTTTGATGAAATTTTGAGGAACCTGTTGGAGCTCCTTAAAGCTCACAAATCCAATATTTATCCATATAGGACGGGTTACTACAAATATAATGCATTATGAATAATTGGTTCTAACACGAAATAATTTACGGTTATCAAATAAACCTGCCATTTGGGTCTGTTTGGTTCATGCTAGGGAATGAAAATGAAAATGACAAAAAATGAAAATGGACTTAAGGGGAAATGAGCTCATTATATTATATAATACCAAACAGTTTCTTTTTTTTTTCATTCTCATTTATTACTGTTTAATACCTCTAACCAAACGATACTTGGTATACACACAAAACTATATTTTAAACTTTCGGTGATACGCAGGACACACAAAAGACTGGAGTTCTAGCAGTACAAACATTAAGAAACAACATTATGGCATCCACCCTATTAGCCTCTACAGCCATCATGCTCAGCTCCATGATCGCCGTTCTCATGACCGGAGGAGTCACCGGCCATGGCGGCAACACCAGCAGCAGCACCACCACCACCAACCACCACTGGAGTGGCATAACCTTCGGTGAGGGTACCAAGCTCCGAATGACCCTCAAGTTCTTCAGCATAACCATCTGTTTCTTAGTAGCCTTCTTGATGAACGTTCAATCGATTCGATACTTCAGCCATGCGAGCATGCTCATCAACGTTCCGTACAAAAAGATCACCAATTTCACCAGCCACCACCTCACCACCGCCTACGTTGCCGCCACCGTCAACTTCGGTAGTTACTTCTGGTCTCTCGGTCTCCGTGCTTTCTATTTCTCGTTTCCGCTCTTCCTATGGCTATTTGGCGCTATACCCATGTTCGTTTCCTCGGTTTTCTTAGTGTTCATGCTCTACTTTTTGGATGTCACTTCCGATCTCGGATGGGTAGCCGATGTTGTCTCGACGGATGAAGAAACCGGTTAACGACCTCATAAGGTTTTGTGATATCACATTGCAATGGTTCGGGATTCAATCCGTGTTGAATGTCGCCTTGCAATAGTTTTGTGTTTTTCTTGCGAAAACACGATGAATGAATGAATGAATAAAACGTTGTTTATCTCTCGTCGTGTTTGGTACTTCATTTGAGACCTACCGTAGAAGCGAAAGCAGATAGTAATAAGCCAACATAACCAGAAACCAATAGCCAATTAAAATAGCAAGCTAATAACATCTTCAACAACTACGTTATTTTAAAAAATTTGGAGATTTGAGAAAAAATTGCTTCAACAGTTATGCTAAATTATTCTCTTAATAGAGAAAAATAGGAAGTTAATAATAAAAAGAAGGGTAAATTGAATGAAAAAGTAACGTAACGTAATTTAATTTGATTTTTATTTTAGATAATGAAATTAAAAGTAACAAATTTCGAAAGTAAACATGTATTTTGGAACACATTAAAATTTAAAATACGAACAATGATTATTATTATTATTTTTAACCTGGATATCCAACCCGCTATGGACTAATCCTAGGGCGACCACCTGCTTTGTAGATAGTTCGGAGTCACCGCATTTGAACCTCCGTGGCCACAAGGGAATTTTTATTCTTCCTTGGATTTGAACCTAAGACCTTCTGGTACTTTTGACATTAGGTTCTTCTGGTACTTTTGACATTTGGAGCCAAGCTCAAACCAATCAGGCACCGCAAGGTACTCTTGTGGTTATGAACAATTATTTTAAGTCGAAAGAAATTCTTTTATTAAATATTAAAGAGTAAATTACAGATTTGATCCTTGTGGTTATATGAAAATTACAAATTAAATCCTCCAAATGAATTAATTACATGTATCGTCCCTGTTGTTTCACTTTCATCACTAGTTCCGTTATGCCACCACCTAGAATAGAAGTGCCCCAGTGTATATCTTCACCCACTCTCGTTAGTTGTCACTAGTTCCTTTTGAGACGCTTTTATCTATTAAATTTAGAGTAAATTATGTTTTTCATCCCTTTGGTTTGTCAAAAACTGCGATCTCCGTCCCTATCGGTTTCAAAATTATGGTTTTCATCCTTATAGTTTGTTCTTACTATTTTCGTCCCTGAACCTAACACCTACCTTTAAGTAGAAGGGATTAAGGGGGTGTTTGGGATTGCTTATAGAAACAACTTATTGCTATGTGGCATCGGTAATAAACACTTTTGAGTGTCAGGATAAACAACTTATACCGGTGTCAAACCAATAATAAGAAGTTTTTGAAGAAGTTAAACTCTTCTGACTTATAATAAATTGATAAGTGTTTTTCTAGAAAATCATAAGTTGTTTCAAATAAGCAATCTCAAACACCCCCTAAAACAACAAAGCATTATAAACCACAAGAACGGAAATCATAATTTTCAAAAATAAAGATTAAAATAGCAATAAAAAATGTAAATTACTCTAAATTCAATGGACTATTAAATACTAAAAAATTTGGGCCTCAAACAGATGCCCGCTCTGCCCTACCCTTCTGAGGGTAGCCAGATCGGGCCGACTACATGCATGCCAAGATATGATCAAATCAAAATTCGACATAATCGCATATGAAAGATCATTTGTCATTACTGGTTTTGAAGTTTGAACATACATTTGAGACAAATTACATTAAAACTCATAAACGGAACCAAAAAGATTTACTCCCTCAATTCATTGAATTAGGGAGAACCAACTGAAATATTCACTGTACAGGCTCCAGGATCGCACCCAGACCATGGCTCGAGGATGGTTCACCTCCATTTTCGACAAATAACAAAGCGGTACCAGGGCTGGAGCTTGAACTTGAGTTCGAGCTAGGACTGGAGTCGACCGGCTGTGCGGCTTCTGAGCGGATTGGAAGGAGAAAACTCTGCATTCTGACAAGATAGCTAGATGGTTGGATTCGAATATGGTGAGAAGTTGAGACGGTTGAACGATCGGGATCAACCGGGATGGTGGATAGGTCGTTTAGGTTGAGATTGGGAAAGACGGAACATCGGCATCGAGGGCATTTGACGTTTAGTCTAAGCCATTTATCGATACATGCCACATGGAAGTTATGAGCACATGGAAGGCCACGAACCTGGAACGTAATTGCGGTCATCGGTCAAGTCTTCTGTATAGCAATTCGACTAGTTGGAGTTGATAACAGTAGATTCTCCAAAATGGAGAAAATAAAGATATTTGTCGTATTTTCTTTTAGAGATCTCTAAAATAAAAATACGGTTGGAGTTGAATGTAATTCTTTACAAAGATTTAAACTTTTTTGCTTTTTTTGTTTTCGAGAAATTATAAAAAATCTGTTGAAGATCCATCACGAATCGGAAAGAAATATTACCCCTTGCCCGACATGGAACTCTTCCAAACAAATTGGACAGTCGCTACAATCTGGCGGAACCGCTTTCAGAACGAAGATCGGAAGTCGTTGAATCACCGTCTCCACCGCTGCCCGCTACACGCAAAATTTCAGAAGTCATCAAACAACGAAGAAGTTCCCCATTTAGCACGGTATGTTTCTTTCTTTACAAATAACACTGTACCTTCCAACGAGATTTCCCGTAAATTTTATCTGACATCTGACTCGAATTCTTAGTCAGATGTCAGATAAATTTATTGTATGAGATTTATTGGGTTTGTTTGGTTTGATTCCATATCAAAATTCCACTCGGATTACCTGGGAATCGGACAAGTTCATCCCGGGATAATATGTAGCATCTTGATCCATGCCTCTCATCTCTTGAGCGGCAGTTTCGAACACCCGATCTGGCTGACGAATCATATTGACCAACACCTGAAAAAAGATACGGTTACTTGTAAAAGAACGAAGAAAAACATTGGATCGAAATCTTAAGACTTCACACACGTCACCATGAGAATCGGAAATTTTTAGAGCACTCGGAAACCTCCAAGAAAGACTATGTGCTCCTTAGGGTAGACGTCAAGGCTGCATACGTCTTGCCCTCCCCAAAACCGACTCCTACTTCATGTCGGATTCACTGGGATCGTTTGGTTTTATCATCTTTCTTTAATTTTGTGACGGTTTCTTAAAAGCATGTATGGGCGCTTACAATCTGTTTAATCAATAGCATGGACGACTGGGATATTTCTATTCCGAACACCCGGATACCTAATATAGAATTTCCAACAAAGGAAGTAAATCCAATATCGCGGTTTCATTACTACCAGAAACAAACAGATTTAGAAATGTGTAATTATCACGGCTTTTAATCGACTAAAAGGACAATTTTACCCTTGGTAATACAAGGATCAATGAATTCCTCATCTGGGTAGAATTGGAAAATAGACACATGGACGCTTATTTTGGAAAACATTAAAGTTTCCATGCAGCTTATACGTTTTCGATGAATCTTCCTCACGGTTTAATCCCGAAAAACGGAAAGAGATAGATAGAAGTTACCCCATATGCTGAAATACGAGTCCCCTGTGGAGCACGTCGTAAATGATCTTGCCTACTTGCTAACCACTGCAAAAAGGATTGTTCGTAAATTGAAACGATGATTATATCTTCAGAAAAACCGAACTACATACGAGCAAGAGGAGATTATACGTTACCTTCTTAACAAAAATACCAGCAAGACATACGAGTCCACAGAAGCTGAAAAGCAACCACACGATGAAACCCCATTTCTGGTTTTTTTCAGGCAACTGCGAGAATTTCAGACATAAACGTCACAAATCTGTTATTCAGGTTAATGCGTCGAGCATCGTCACTCTACTTTAGTAAAGAAAATAAAAAACGATGAACGTACACAGTTCTTTGCACCAGCAAACCATATAGCCCCGACAACGCTCCATGCCCAAAGAAAGGGATATAACACCACATAGAGGATAGACAGAACCAAAACTCTTCCTAAAAGATGCGGGCCTCTTAGTTGCCGACTGATATCCCTGCACCATTTCGGAATATGCGTATTAATTATGAGATTCGTGAACTATTATTGGTGATCGTAATGAAACAGAACGCTTTTATCGTAACATCTATGATGAAAAAGACAACCGATCTACCACTAACACAACGTAAACCATAAACTTGTGTTTTATAAGGCAAAAAGATTGTATCTTGACTCGATTTGCAATAGATTTCTCGCAATGAAGTCCAATAAATGTCGATTTATCCGTTTGTGACCAGAAGCACTAATGAGCACTAGCATCCCACAAACCGTTAAGGGTGCGTTTGGCATGTTGGATAGGATGGGACGCTATAAAAACTTGTTGTCACTGTTGTCGTCCATGTTTGACGCAACATTAGACAGTGGATAAGACAAAAATCCATTTTTTCTATCCCACCAAAATAGGTCGGAGACATAACAAGATTGGTAAATTACTAAATTACCCATGTCAAATTAAAACCCTAAGATTAATCGTTATACATCCCCTAATCAAATTTGATGTCATCAAGTTCTCCATTGCTTTGCCAATTCAAAGTAAACTAAGATTAATCTTAATTATAACCAACAAAAAACCCAAATTCCACATTTGAAGAACTTTCGTTTCAAATTGTTACTCATTTCATGGTTTAGACATTTCGTCGAACAGTTGGAGCAAAAGGTGAACTTACAATCCAACTCCAGCCGCGATCGCATTGTCCACAAACATCAAGAGGCGGAAAACAAAGACGGCCGCATAATCAACCTTATTCAAAGAATCAAAAACACAAATTAGTCTCTGCAAATCCCCATCCAGGCGAACAAAAAGAAGCAAGAATTCGAAAAAAGATCAAGTTCACAAACCGCTATCCACAGCTGCAATGGTAATTTACAAAGATGGTAACGCTCCCAACTAAAGACAACCATGATTCTATTCAATCACAATCGTCAAGAAAACAAAAACAAACAAAACGTAATCGAACATACATATCGAAACCCCATCTCAATTACAAAAAAAGGATACATGCTAAACGCAAGCATTGATAGAAAGAATCCATCGTACCTACAAAAAATTCAAAAACCCAAACAATCACGATCATAAAAAGACTCAAACGGGACTCAAAATTTGAAAAGTAAAATGCAGAATTGTATGTAGAATGAAACTAACCACTTAAAACCTGCACCTCTGATCGCCATTGAAGAAGAAAGAGCTAATTACAGAAAACCCTATACTTGTGTGGGTTAGGAAGTGAAGTAAAGCATCATCTGTTGAAAGTTATATAGGATTCAAATTCAGGGACTAGAGACGCAAATTCGATAAAATAACCCACGGATTTAGAGAGGGAAGGAAGGAGGGTAAAGCACAGAACAGGAGGAGGGAAAGAGACGAAAATGGCGATGTCAATTTTGCTGCAACTTTTTCTTGTCTTCTTTGGGAGAAAGTTGTTTTTTATGAACAGAATTCTGGGGAAGAAGACGAACAAGCGGTTTTATTTTTTTGGGCTTTATCTCTCAAGCCCATTTTCAGATGGGCCTATGTACAAAAAAGGTCCCTAAGGTTTGAGTTGACTTTCACTTTTGGTCCCTATTATTTAAAGTATTTTTAACAGATTTTTCAAAATTTAAGAGACATTCTCTGAATTGTTAAGAGGTGAATTTTGTTCGATAAAAAAAGATCTGTCTATTAATGATTCTAAAACTCTCTGAATGATTTTGTGTTCAGGGTCTCATTTAACCATATTGTAAACAATTACTAGATAATTATATTTTGTTTTGCACTGTATTATAAAAACTTTTTAATCATTCTGACTATTTAATCATTCTGTACAAAATCATTTAACAACTGTTAAACAAATTTTCAGTTTTGGTCCCTATTATTTAAAGTATTTTTTAACAGATTTTTCAAATTTTCTATAAAATGATAATCAAAGTTTTTTGTTTATCTCTTAATAGTTTTATTTAGAGACAGTTTCTGAATTATTTAAGAGGTGAATTTTGTTTGACAAAAAAAGATATGTCTCTTAATGGTTCTAAAACTCTCTGAATGATTTTGTATTCAGGGTCTCCCTTAACCATATTGTAAACAATTACCAGATAATTATATTTCATTTTGCACTGTATCATAAGAGTCTTTTAATCATTCTGCATAAAATCATTCAACAACTGTTGAACAGCCCCTGATTCTAATAGATTCTTTATTTTAGAGATTTCAACATTTATTATATTATTAAAATATTCTATAAATTTATCAGTTCAATACATTTTTTTTAAAAATTAAACAAAAAATAATAATAATTCAACCCCAATATAGAAAATTTGTTGGATCAATTAAAAAAATGACAAACTGCATTAAAAAATAATGTACTTTAACTTGATTCCTATTTTGGGTAACGTACTTTCAAAACTTTCATTTTGGTAACCAAGATATAAAGTTTTAAACATTTAAGTACTCGGGTAACCGATTGAATCATTAACCGATTATCATGTTGATGTTGCGCGTGATATGGTATCCAAAGCAATATTATTTGCTGACGTAGTTAGTGACGTGAGTTTTTTTAATCTAAAATTAGTCTTTTTCAATCTAAAATTAGTTATCAACCGGTTACTCACATGCTTAAATGTTTAAAACTTTGCATCGTAGATATCAAAATGAAAGTTCTGAAAGTACGTTACCCAAAATAAGAACCAAATTAAAGTACACTACTTTTTCATGCAATTTGCCAATTTAAAAAACAAAAATCTCATTTTCTTTACTTTAAAGAATTTGTTGGAGATGCTCTCAAAACTAAAGATATTCAAAAAAGTTATATTCAACTTCAAACGCATTATCTATTTTAGAGATTACAATATTTATTATAATATTTTTTTTAAATTTATTATTAAAACAAATAAATTTCATTTAGATAATGTTTTAATGTTTTTTAATCATATAAAAATTACAAATAGCACAAATCAATAA